GGCCAGCACACCTCCCCGGGGAGAGCCTGGGGGCTGGCCAGAGCTGCACCAGTGACCACTCCTCTGGACGGCTCCTTCCTCAGCTCTCCCAGGCCTTCCCTGAGGACAGCTCTATGTAGCCCAGATTGCCAGCTCCAGCCAGCTATCCTTGAGATCCTGTGCTTTGAAGACTTCCTAAGGTTCAGGTTCATATCTCTTTGTGCCCTCCCCTCAGTTCAGGAGGCTTGGTGGTTATGGCAGTAGCAGGTGCTTACTCTGTGCCAAGCATCATTCTAATCACTTCTACACTGATTCGCTTATTGTATCCCCCCTCCCTGTGAGGTAGGACTGTGACCATCTCCACTTTACAGATGAGGACACTGAAGCAGAGAGACTAAGTAACTTGTACAGGGTTTCACAAATAGTACTTGGTGGTGTCAGGATTTGAGCCCAGGTCATCTGGCTCCTGAGATCTCCAGTGTAGAAGTAGCCAAGGACTAACCAGGGTCCCCACCTCCTTCCTATAGATGTACAGTGTGACCTGGCCAATGGGGCTGCCAGCTCCCTCTCCCACTCTCCCCTATTGGTCGTTGGTACAGCCAGCTGGTCCCAGCAAGAGGATAGGACCCAGCTAGAGCCACTATATTTATTTGGAGAAGGCAATGGGGGCTGGGAGAATTGGGGTCTGGAAGAAGCCCAGATAGGCCTGCTGACCCTGTCTCGGCTTCTTAGGATGGGAAACTGCCCTCCCTCCCTTCTTCCAGGAGAGCTAAACTGCCCCCTGCCACCAGCTCCCACTCTTCATAGTGGTGAGTTTTCTTTTGCAGTGGAGAGGAGCTGGCGGCATCTATAGCATAAGTAGTTTTACTTTCAGTTTGATGGCATTAAATAACATTGAATCACATAGAGAGAAGGCTATTCCCTTTTCAATTCTCTTTCAGTCCTGATTACATCAAAGAGAAAGTCCTAGTTTGATGCCAATGTATCTTCAAAACATCTCCATTATATGCTAAGCTCGTCGTCTTTTTTTTCTTGCAAGGTACAGCAGGCTTGGAGCCTTCTCCAGGCTATAGTTTCCAATCAGAATTTACCATATTTGGTTTTCCTATTATGTACTTTTATGATTTTGTTCTATTTATGGCAGGTGACACTGGCTTTCCATTTATGGCAAGTGATATACAGTTTCCTTTTAAAATCTGTTTACCTAAGTAAAAGAAATGAGTAGATTTTTTAAAGAACATATGGTAATAGGCAGACACTGTAGAAATCCCCAAGGTGGTGAAGAAATGGACTGAAGGTCAGGAAACACCATCATGGAATTACCCTTCAGAAGCATGTCTTCAGCCTTCCTGAGACCCTGTTACCCAGCCTGCTCAGGGCTCAGATAAACAAGGAGTATGTGTTTGTGGTCACATAGTAAGTGAACAGCAGAGGCAGGACTTGACCCCCTGGTCCCCATGAGAAGTAAGATCCTATGTAGAAGGGTTAAGGGACTAGACTGGCTTCCAAGGAGCAGAGCAGCTTCATTACTGAATTATTGGTGTGCACAAAGGTGGCCATTGTTTTTCTCTCTGGGGGTGGTCAGCCAAAGGAAAATAGCTTGAATATTAAGCTCAGTTACAAGAAAGACCCTAAGAAGACAAGCAAACCCTGGCTTGCCTTGAAATTGCAGAGTCCCCATCTCCAGGGAACTTTAAGAGGAGACTCTGCAGGCACCTGCATGGGCATTTCAGACTCAAAGTGCATAGAGGTGGCACAAAGGCCTGGGCTCAGCACCTCAGACCTCCAGGATTCTCGAGAGTCCTGTCCCAGTGAAGCCAGTCAGTGCCTCTGGGCACTCTGCCGGACCCTGTAGGCAGCAAGGAGCTAAGACAGTAAGCCAGTGGCATGTGGCCTTCAAAAGCCAGGGGACAGAATCATACTGCACAGCCCGAAGCAGGTGCCAGGTGCTATATTGTGTGTGCACCCTTCACCACAGCCTCTGAGGGAGGCACTGTCATCATGCCTCTTGGAGCGATGATAGAACCTGCTCAGGCATGCTGAGTAATGCACAAAATCACAGAGCAGTACAGGGCCATCTTGAGAGGTGAATGGAGGGCTCATTGCCTCCCCAAGCTGGCCTGTTAAGTAACGGGTTGTACAAGAAACCCTGGCAGGCAGGGCACACAACTCCAAGTCCCTAGCTTCGCCATTCTCACACACGACAGCATCAGGAAGGCCTTGCACGTGTCAGCACTGCTACTGAGGGGTCCCTAGGGTCTATCCGAAGCTGTCCCTGTGCCCCCTGGCCCCCCTCCCTTGGTGAGGCCAGACTGCTCCTGGATGAACAGCTGGCTTAAAACCTGGAGCCTCAAACTCAGTCTTTGGGATGTGATCAGTGCTGGTTGAGGGGTCACTGCCAGTATACCCAATGGGCACTGAGGACCCCTTCCTTCCTCTCTTCTTTCCCTCAGTCTGCTTGGCCCTAAGACCCCCTGTGTGTGTTGCATATAGGGAGGTGACCTTTCAGCAGTGTACCTCCCACCGGGGCCACCCTGTCACCAGAGGTCAGACCCAAGCAAGGAACCTTTGCCCTGTTTGGGAGAGAGAGCAACCAGCCCAGCTAGAGGCTCCCCAATATAGCTGGGGACCCCTGCCATTGGGTAGAGGCTCCCTTGTGCCCATGGGCTGGCCTCAAGGCTGCTTCTCTCCACCCCAGGGCTTCTGGGCAGAGGATTGTGGATTTCCTAAGACTAGTCCTTGCTGTGTCAGAGGCTTGCACCATTGGGTTACTCAATAAGGGCCTGCAACACTGCTTACCATGCAGAGGAAGGTGGGCTCCTCCCTCCCCAGTGCACCTCCATGGACTAGTCCCAGAGTTGGAGACTCCTGGGTCAGCCTGTGAGGTCATGACAATAACTTCCATAGGCCCTAGGGATGCCAAAGGGGAAGAAGAGGCTCTGCCATCCTTGGGGTCTGCTGTGTCCTGGCCTCCTAGGTACCTCCCTCCATCCATCTCACCCTGAGTCAGGCCCAGGAAAGGGGTATCTGCAACTTTTCCTGGGCTCCTAAGCATCAGGCTCACCACCACCATTTTCCATGGTGCTGGCCCAGCCCCAAGAGCTAGAGAACAGGTTTGCACCAACCAACCCATCTCACCTTCCCAAAGCATCAATCCTGCCCAGGGCAACCAAGCACCTCAGTGGGTTGGTGAGCAGGTCTCTTTTCAGTTCACAGACCCTCTGGACCATGCCTGCAATTAGGCCTGCCCATCTCTTAGCCCCCTTGTTGCACACTCTACTAGGTAGCAGCATGAATACTCAATAGCACGCCCATAATACAGTTAGGAATACTGAGTCCCAGACTAGTTCAAAACTAAGAGAATTCTCGTGACTCCTTTTGGTGGAAAACTGCTTCAAACCCTAATTATCCCCCTGAGCTGGGCCCAGGCAGAGATGGAGTGCCAAGCTTTCTCTGGGAAGTCTCCTGGCTGCGTAGACAACATGAAGCGAGGGGCTCCGAGCCTCTGTGCTGCTGGCTGCTCTGCGAGCCAGCGCCCTATGCCCTGGTTCTCTGGAACTCAGTTTCCCAACCTGGGGCTGCTGAGCAGAGAGCTGCCCAGCTAGAGGAGGACACAGGATAGGGGTAAGAGAACTGAAAGGCCTCTGAGGGTCATTTGGAGAGGCTGGGGCAGGGCAGGGGTCTGTAGCCAGCGGGCTGCTGGCCTTTCTGCCTGCCACCATCCCCTGCTCCTCTGGGAAACCATGTTTGCCACGAGCCATGGCCTTGGTGCCGAGACTGCTCCCACGCCCACTTTGACTCTTCCTGAGGAGCACCCAGTTCAGGGCTTAGGCAGCAACGTCTGCGGGCTGTGGGCTCCCTCCTCCTCATAGGAGGCCAGGCCAGACTTCCAGCGCTGAGATAACATGCTGCCTGCAGGCTCCTCAGTTTCTGAGGTGTTTTCCAGGTTCTCTCAGGCTCCTCCTCATTCTTACCCTGTCATCTGCTCCCTCTTCTTCTTCCGACTTGCCCACTGGGTCCGTGCCAAGCTCCCCACCTCCCTCCTGCCTCCCTCTGACTCCCTGCGTGACTCACACTTTCCCTCCGCCTTCCCGGGGAAAAAGTTTAAAAGTTGAGTTCCATAGGCTGCCTGCCGGTCCCCTCCTCCCTCACGATCCAACTGCTCCAATCCTAGACAGGCGAGAACTGTCGGCCAGACTATGGGTGCCAGGACCTCCTTTGCCCCCCCAACTCAAGGAGCCCCTGTGTCCTGACCAGGATACCACTTAGAGTTGTGCAAGTCTGGACTTTGGAAGAGGAAAGTGACACCTCCCTGTGTATGGCTTCTGTGTTTGAGCTGAGGAAACTGAGGCCCGGAAGATGCTATAAGTTATCCAAGGACTTAGAATGGGCTCATAATTGAGCTGGGAAATGCCCCCACGTTCTCCCCAGCGCATACCCTACATCAGTCTCCCCAGGGGCAGTTTTGCTAGGATGCCAGGAATCAGCTGACCACTCAGACCCTCAGAGGGGTGTGCATGTCCAGCAGCAGACCAGTAGCCATGCTGACCAGTGCCCACCAAGGCTCAACCAAGAGTATCACCAGGGTATAGGACAGTGGCTGTGAATATACAACTCCCCTACAGGGTGAGATCCTGGAGCCCTAAGGCGGGGCAGGGAGATGCCGCAGGTGTCAAATGCCAGAGGCATCCACTAGAACACACTGGGTTGTCTCCACCAGGTCCACCTCCTGTTCGGCAGAAGGTGCTCATGCCCTGGGCGCTCTGGGCTGGGAAGGCTTGGACAGGCAGCCGCCTAGGCAGCTGTCAGCAAACAGATGTGCCCACCACCCAGCCAGGGCACTTGACAGAGAACTACTGCCTGCTGCCAAGTAGTCCTAGCAGCCTGTCTGCCGTGGGGGGTGGGCTGGGTCACAGCGGGCTGAAGGGGGCTCCCGGGGCTCCCCCTCGACCTGTGACCCCCACCCTGCCCGCTGTGTTCTCCCGGTGCTCCTCCCCCGCACCCAGGCTCGCCGACCTTACCTCGGGAGGCAGCCAGGAGGAAGGCGAGGAGCACAGGCCTCCAGCGCCGGCTGCCAGCCTCCGGGACTGGGGGAAAACCCATGTCGCCGTCGGGCAGAGCTGCGTCTGGCGCAGCCGGGCCGGAGCGGAGCCCAGGGGCACGCAGAGGGGACTCCTGGTTCGCAGGGAGCGGACGGGACGCGGCCGGCGGGGAAACCTCCGGGCGAGTGAGTGTCGAGCAAGTGAGCGCAGACGGCCGCCAGCTCCAGGGGCCCCACAGCGCCCCCGGGCGGCCATGGAGGGCACTGCCTCTCCAAGGCTCCTCGGGAGGGGCTTCCCACTTTCCCGCACGACCTGACCCTGGAGCCAGGCGGTATCCCAGAGAGTCAGCAGCGCAGCTTGATCGCTAGTTTCAAGCCTTTTCTTCTCTCCCCTATTCCTGTTTGCAGAGGATTAGTATTGGTGAAAAGCCTGAGGAGTATATCTACGTCTAACTTAGCATCATCATCATAGATTGTATCAGCCCTCACTCGCCAGCAGGGACTTGTACCGGTCACCCTCCAACCCAGCCCAGGTCCTGATATATCATAGGCACTCCCAGTAGTGGAGTGGATGGATGGAATCTAACTTTTGTAAAGAGCTGGGTGAGTTGGAGCAGGCTCGACTGTAGATTCCAGAGCCTGCAACACTCTTGTGCACATGTACACATGCACACAGGTGCAGGCTTGGCACATCCCTACACTGGGACATGTGTGGGGGTGGGGGTGGGGGTGCACGCATAACATTGGGTAGTGTGTCCCATAGAAAATCACTAGCACTCCTCTGGCCCAGGCCCCAGCTTCACCTCCCACCTTGCAGCCTCTCTCCCTGTGCCCCAGAGCTCTGCAGGATGCTCCCACACACACCCACCTCTCGCCCTCTGCTCTTGCACCACACCCAGTACTGGAGCCCCTGGCAATGTCTCTCTCCTTTCTTCCAAGTTCTTCTTGTTGCTCAGGGCTCAACTCAGGCTCTTTCCATTTACAAAGCGCCCTGAGTGTTCCCTGAGGGTCTCCGTCTGGTCTACACCCCCTTTGTCTATCACACCGAGCCTGGGGTTACCAAACAGCTGGTCTTCCCCCCAGGCTCATTTGCCCTCCTGGGCTAGACTATGAGCTTTTGGGAACCAGGGTCTGTCTCTGATGTTTCTGAGTCCCTGGCCCAAAAGTGTGCATAGGGGAGATGTTTGATGCACACTTCTCTGAATGGATAAATTGATGTATAAGTGAGCAGTGATTTCCCAAATAGAAGTGGAGGTGACAGTGGTAAGGGCCAGGGTTCAGGGGCGAGGGAGGGCACAGTACGGTACCCTGTTTACCGCCACCTGGGTGAAGCTTCCAAAGGCTTTGCTGACCCGTTAAGGGTGTTGAGCTCGCGAGCAACACCTGGGTTGAAAGACAAAGTACAGCTGAGTCTATGTGGGTCAGGAGTCAGGGTGGTGAGACTCAAGGAAAGCCAGGAACTCTGGGTGTCCTGTGGGCAGACTGGTCCAAGTCAGAGATTCTCTGCATGCTTCCAGCCCTCACTCCCAGGGTGGAGAAAGCTGCAACAGAGGAAGGGTGGGCATCATGCTATTACTATGTGAACTGGCATAGGCCTAGTCTCCCTGAAGCCGGGGAATCCCTCTGGGATGGGAGTCCCAGTGATTTCCAGGACATAATCCAAGTTCTTGGCCACATCCTGATCTTGTGACCCTGCTTTAGGGGACAGTCTGGGCTCTTCTTCCTGACAGAGTGTGAGTTCTTCCACCCAGGGAAGTTACAAAGCCAGCTGAAACCAGGTGGGTACCAGGTACTCTTCACACCCTGGGCATTGTCCGGTGGAAGTGAGATGGGGTCACTGTAGGGTGAGACCCTAGAGCACCTGCTCTCCCTCCCCTCATCCCTTCCTGGCTTGGCCCAGGCCATCCCACCCTTGAAACCAGACTCCCTCTACCCCAGGGCCTAGAAGGTGGGTGTGGGGAGGCTGGGATTGGGGGAGGGGAGCAACTGCTCTGCCAACCCCTTACGCAGAGGGCGAGAACACCTGAGCTGGGCCCAGTCCCCCTGCCCTCCATTTACTTCTTCCCCACCACACTCCCCTCCCCCCACCCATGAGCCTCCTAGGTTTGCATCAGGGTGAGACACAGAGGCATTGCCCAAGGTGTGGGCATGGTCCAGAAACCTCAAGCACTGTTCCTCCAGTATCAGGGCAGAACTTGGCTGCGAGGGCCTTCAGGGCACCAACTTCCTCCTCACACCAGAGGCCAGGGGAAGTCAGACCCACCTCCCCCTCCCAAGTTCCTACCTGGTCTTAGAGAGAAGGGAGCAGCTTAGAGAGCAGCTCCATTAGAGCCCCGCCTCACTCTCAGTCCTGCACTGGTTAGACCCACTTCCAAGAGTCTGGGGAAGTGGGAAATGTCAGTACCACCACCCTTTAGATGAGGCTGTAGGGTGGCGCTGGCATGTCTTGCTGGCAGAAGGGGCTCAGAAGGATGCAGTGCTGGGCTCCTCACTGGTGGTAAGCACTCACAGCTGCATCTGTGTGCAGAGCCACAGATGAACACAGTGTCCTTTCTTGATAGTCATCTTTACTCAAAGATTTGGGGCCTCCACCACCATTTTTAATGGAAACTAACAAACACCTTATGGGGGTAAAAAGTGTGAAACTTACATGAGCTTTCAATAGAAGAGATTTCAAAGATATTTCATTCTTGAGATAAATGCTTCAGGGGTGTTCCCCAATTCAGTGCAAGTCCCCTCTCCACTCTGGTGGGAAAGTCTGAGAAATGTAAAAACAATGCATTTTCCTTTGCTGTGTGATTGTAATTTTTATGAAGTCATTGAAACTCTAAGACCCGAAAGAGTATCTCCCTGATGGAGCAGGGGTTCAGACTGATGGTGGCAGATCAGCTCCTCTGAATGTCTGAACCAGAAGGGATGTTAAAGAACAAGTTGGGTCCTTCACTAACAGACAGAAAAGGTCCAGAAAGGATCTCTGCGACATGTCCAAGGTCACTGAGCCCCATCTCCACATTTCCAACACTACCTGCTTTGGAAACAGTTCTAGCAACCACCTAACATACCCCACGCAACCCCTGCCAAGATCCAGAGCTGCAGCTGTCCCTGCCTCCCCGGGGCAGTGAAGTCTTGGGTGCAGGTCTCCTGTCCATCTGTCTGTCCTTCCACAGGTGATTCCAGAACCAACTCAACCCCCAGTAAAGGTGTACATAAGTTGTCTTTATCCAGCTTTTTGTACCACCTGCTTTCGGTTCCCTGCCCTTGACAATTGCCTGGTCACATTCTCTCTACCCAGATGTTTTGAAAGTAGTTATAACTTTATTATTGTATTTTATATTAGTCTCTAATTATAGTTTGTATGAGTCAGGGTACTGGAAGGAAACAGAAGGCACACTCCGAAAGGGCTCAACTGAAGAGAGCTTAATGGAGGGACTGTTTACAGAGGGCTGGTAAAGCACCCATGGACTAAAAACTGCAGGAAGCCATTTCCACCCATGGGTGCAGGAGGCAAGAGGGGGATGAGGTAACTAGAGCCCAGTGAGGGCCAGAGCCATGAAAGAGGGGCCACCCAGCAGAACCACTGCCTCTGGCAGAACTGCAGTGAAGAAAAGGGAGTAGAAATGCCCCACCCCCTCTCCGTCTTCTGCCTGGACCTCCCATGGGCCAAACCATCTGGAAGCCAAAGGGCAAAGGAGCCCAGGTAAGGCAGTCCACAGGACTCCTCCATCCTCCCTGGTAAAGTGATCCACAGAGGACTCCTCCATCCTCCCTGGTAAGGTGATCCACAGAGGACTCCTCTATCCTCCCAGGTGGAGGAGAAAAGGGAGGAGGGAAGCTGGGGGACAGAGAATACCAGTACATAGCTAAGTTCTTGCTTCCACTTACCGCTTCTGCTTGTGAAGTGCCACATCAACCACCTCAATGGTTCTTGGGTGCTGCTTGCTGAGTTTCGATTGACTAAGTATTACCTGTGGTCTGATTGGACCAAACATCCATCAAAAATGGCTAGTCAGTGGAGAGCATGGTGTGAAATTGTTCTTGCACTGAAGTCATATGCTGTTAGCTTTATTTTTCACAACTCTACAAATTCTGTCCATGGAACTGCCCCAAGCCCAAGGTCCTTCCTTCTCAAAAGTGCTGAAAATAGGTATTTCTTCCATTTTCCTGAACAGTGGGTAAAGTTTAAATGCATGGGCTGCATACGTTACATTCTTGCCTTTTGTGATCTAGAAGGAGGTCCAGGGTAAGTAAAGCCCTGGCCCAGTCCAAGCTGGAGGCAGTTATTGGGGTTCATCTCATGTGCCAATGTTAATCACTAGATCAGTGTTCTGACAAGGATCCTGAGGTTGCATCTGGCCTCAGCAGTGCAGTGGTTGATTAGTGATGTCTGCCACTGACATGGCCATGAGCGTGGTGGTGCAAGTGCCATCTTGGACTAAAGCAGTTACCTAGCTTGGCTCTCAGTGGGGCCTCTGTGATTTCCTCCATCAGCCTGTGACTTCACTCACTCTCATCCTTCTCTCTTTACCTCACCATGTTGGATCACATTGAGTAAGTTCAGCCTAGGAACACATCCAGCTAGCTCCACCTCAAACCCCCTAGCCAGCTGACCGAGGAACCTAATCACACTCTTCTCCACAGGCCACCACCCACGTGTATGTGACCATCGTGGATGAGAACGATAACGCACCCGTGTTCCAGCAGCCCCACTACGAGATCTTACTGGATGAGGGCCCGGACACAATCAACACCAGCCTCATCACCATCCAGGCCCTGGATCTAGATGAAGGACCCAACGGCACAGTTACCTATGCCATCGTGGCAGGCAACATCATCAACACCTTTCGTATCAACAGACACACGGTCAGCGGCTGGTGGAAGGGGCCAAGAAGAGGGTCAACTGGCTAAAGGGATTGGAGGGCAGTTCAGTGACATCATGGGGGTGGGGGCAGAGCAAAGATGGAGTCCAGGAGGAAAACAGGACGGCAGCATGTGTGGGAGGATGAAAAGGCTGGGATAACAGGGCCTCCTTATCTCAGCCAGGATGTCAGGGCCTACCTCCTAGGGTGGTCAGAGGGTACCCCAGACTCACAACCCATTGACCCACAGTGGTCCTTCTCTGTATCCCACAGGGCATCATCCGTGCTGCCAAGGAGCTGGACTATGAGATCAGCCATGGCCGCTACACCCTGATTGTCACTGCCACGGACCAGTGTCCCCTCCTGTCACATCGCCTCACTTCTACCACCACGGTGGGTGGATGGGTGGGTGGCACACAGCCCCAGCTTGGACAGCTCCATGGGGAAACAGGGTAGGGAAAGATTATTCAGGAGAAACCCCTCAATCCACCAGCCCTGTCCTGGTCTCTGCAACTCACCCAAACTTGCACTGTGACTTTGAGATTACTGAACCTCTCTGTGTGGCTGCAGCTGTGAGATAGATGATTCTGCCTGCCTTTCTCCCCTTCATGGGGAGAGCACAAACTCTGGTCAAGCCAGCAGGGGTTCATGTTCCTGGTCTTCTACCTCCTGTGTGACTCTGGGCAAGTCAGTTAACCTCTCTGAGCTTCACTTTCCTCCTCTGTAAATGGGGGATAATATAAACTGTTTCAGAGTATGGGAGGAGAAAATAAGACCAGATAAAATGACCATAGTTCAGCAATAAGTAGAAGTTTGTAGCATTATTATTAATAATATGATTCTGCCCTTGGAAAGACTTTGACAATAACAATAATTTATCTACATGTATAGCTTCAAAGACCCTCCCACACCCATTAACCAATATGATCCTTACATCAGTCTGGGAAGCAGAATTTTCAGGTCCGGTTTACAGATAAATAGGCCTGGCTGGTGTCCGGTCCTGACTAAGCTCGCCCATCATCTCAGGTGCTTGTGAACGTGAATGACATCAACGATAACGTGCCCACCTTCCCCCGAGACTACGAGGGGCCATTTGACGTCACTGAGGGCCAGCCAGGACCCAGAGTGTGGACCTTCCTAGCCCATGACCAGGACTCGGGCCCCAGTGGGCAGGTGGAGTACAGCATCGTGGATGGAGACCCTCTGGGTGAGTGGGCCTGAGCTTGGTGATGGGGTGGCACGACCCAGCGGGCCTCTCCCTGACCCCACTCAGGAATTGGGTGGAAAAGGAGGTTTTTCTAACTACTAATGGCAGTTTACCCCATAACTGTATGATCTTGCACTCTCTGGGCCTCAGTTTCCCCATCCACGAGATAATGGAAATAAGCTCGTCCCAGGAATATGGTGAGAACACCCTGAAATCTGGGAGCAGAGGCTGGTAGCCTTGGAAGGTCACAGACTCCTTTGAGAATCTGATAGAAAACACCCTAGGTCATACCCAGAGCAAAGGCTCCAGAGAAGGGGAAAGAAGGAAAGACAAGCATCCTTGCCACAGACCCTCAGGACCCCCCAGATGCACACTGAGGGAGCACCCAGACTTCTCTGCACACCTCATCATCATCCCTTAATGGCCTTCACAGCTGCCTTGGCTGATCCCCTCAGTTGAAGAGCAGCATTTGCCTGGCCAGAGCAGTTTCTCAAGACAGTTTTTACTCACTTTTGTGGCATAGGACTCCCAAACTCAGGGCCTACTGGGGCAATGCAGGGAGCATACATGGGGGGAAGGGTCTGGGCTAGAGAATAGGGAGCCAGGGTGCTGTGGCAGCCAGTGGTGGTCAGATTGAAATGCAGACCTGGGGTGAGGACTTCCCATTTTTAAAAAGGAATGATGGAAATCCAAATCATTGTGAAACATCCTGATATTTAATTGATCACTCAATAAATATTTATTGACCATATTTGCTGATCACATTCCAGATGCTGAGTATACAGAATGGTAAAAAAAAAAAAAAAAATCAGACACAAATCCCTACCTTTATAGAACATGTGTTCTGGTTGGAAGATACAGGCCATGAACATAACTGATTAAGTAGATGACTTTGTCTATTGGGAGGTGCTAAGTGCTATGGAGAGACATAAAGCCAGGAGAATGGGGAGTGCCAGGGTAACACCTGCAGTTTTAGAGAGAATGCTCAAGGAAGACCTGGGCAAGGAGGTGACATTTGAGCAAAGACCTGAAGGAGGTGATGAGTGGGTCATGTGGATATCCAGGGAAGAGTATGGCAGACAGAGAGAGCAGCAAGTGTAAAGGCTCTCAGATGGAGTGTTCCTGGCTTATTCACAGAGGAGCAAAAAGGCCCAGTGACTGGCATGAAGCCAGCAAGGGAAAGAGTAGGAAGAGATGAGATCAGAGAGGTAACAGAGCCAGATGTTGTTGGGTCCTGCAGGCCATTGTGAGGACTTGTCTTTTTCTCCAAGTGACATGGGAAGCATAAGAGAGCTTTGAGCACCAGAGGAATATGATTTGACTTGAATTTCAACAGGAGCACTCCAGTTCCTGAGCTCAGAACAAAGAATAGAGGTTAAGGAATGACTGATAGGAGCCCCTTGCAGTCACTCGGGCTAGAGATGTGAAGCTAGAACCAGGGAGGTGGCATTGGAAATGATGAGAACTCTAGTATATTTCACAGACAGCCAACAGGATGTGAGATGTAACTCAAGGATGACACCAAGATTTGGGTCTGAGCAACTGTGCTGTTAGCAGATGGGAAGACTGCAGGAGGAGCAGGAAAAGGGGGTTGGGGGATGGGAAAGCTGAGGTTAGGTTTGAGATGTCAGATTGTTGTTCAGTCGGTAAGTCATGTCCGACTTTGTGACCCCATGGACTGCACCAAACAAGCTTCCCTGTCCTTCACCATCTCCTGGAGTTTGCTAAAGCTCATGCCTATCGAGTCAGTGATGCCATCCAACCATCTCATCCTCTGTCGCCCCCTTCTCCTCCTACCCTCAGTCTTTCCCAACATGAGGGTCTTTTCCACTTGAGTTGGCTCTTTGCATCAAGTGGCTAAAGTATTGGAGCTTCAGCATCAGTCCCTCCAATGAATATTCAGGGTTAATTTCCTTTAGGATTGACTGGTTTGATCTCCTTTCTGTCCAAGGGACTCTCAAGAGTCTTCTCCAGCACCACAGTTCAAAAGCATCAGTTCTTTGGTGGTCAACCTTCTTTATGGTCCAACTCTCACATCTGCACATAACTACTGGAAAAACCATAGCTTTGAGTATACGGACCTTTGTCAGCAAAGTGATATCTATGCTTTTGAATATGCTGTCTAGGTTTGTCATTTCTTTGCCCTTTCTTCCAAGGAGCAAGCATCTTTTAATTTCATGTCTGCAGTCACTGTCCACAGTGATTTTGGAGCCCAAGAAAATAAAGTTTCTCACTGTTTCATTGTTTCCCTATCTATTTGCCATGATGTTATGGGACTGAATACCATGATCTTAGTTTTTTGAACGCTGAGTTTAAAAGGCAACTTTTTTACTCTCCTCTTTCACCTTCATCAAGAAGCTCTTTAGTTCCTCTTCGCCTTCTGCCATTAAAGTAGTATCATCTGCGTATCTGAGGTTGTTGATATTTCTTCCAGCAATCTTGATTCCAGCTTGTGATCCATCCAGGCTGGCATTTCGCGTGATTTAGTCTGCATATAAGTTAAATAAGCAGGGTGACAGTATACAGCCTTGATGTACTCCTTTCCCAATTATGAATCAGTCCATTGTTCCATATCTGGTTCTAACTGTTGCTTCTTGTCCTGCATACAGGTTTCTCAGGAGACAGGTAAGGTGGTTTGGTATTCCCATCTCTTTAAGAATTTTCCACAGTTTGCTGTGATCCAGACAGTCAAAGCTTTAGGCTTTTTCTGGAATTTTCTTGCTTTTTCTATGATCCAATGGATGTTGGCAATTTGATACCTGGTTCCTCTGCATTTTCTAAATCCAGCTTGTATATCTGGAAGTTCTCAGTTCACATACTGCTGAAGCCTAGCTTGAAAGATTTTGAGCATAATCTTGCTAGCATGTAAAATAAGTACAATTGTAAGGTAATTTGAACATTCTTTGGCATTGCATTTCTTTGGGATTGCAGTGAAAACTGATCTTTTCCAGTCCTGTGGCCACTACTGAGCTTTCCAAATTTGTTGGCATATTGAGTACAGCACTTTCACAGCATCATCTTTTAGAATTTGAAATAGTTCAGCTGGAACTCTACCACCTCCACTAGCTTTGTTCATAGTAATGCTCCTAAGGCCCACTTGACTTCATATTCTAGGATGTCTCGCTCTAGGTGAGTGACCACACCATCATGGTTATCCGGGTCATTAAGACCTTTTTTATACAGTTTTTTTGAAATAGCTCAACTGGAATTCCATCACCTCCACTAGCTTTGTTCGTAGTGATACTTTCTAAGGCCCACTTGACTTCACATTCCAGGATGTCTGGCTCTAGGTGAGTGATCACACCATTGTGATTATCTGGGTCATGAAGATCTTTTTTGTACAGTTCTTCTGTGTATT